AGAGCTTTATTAATAATAATAATAAAAGAAAAGAAAAGGAAAGACAGACAAACAGACAGAGACAGACACGCAAGCACAAAGAGCTCATTACCGTTTTGAATAACGATGATCGAATTCGTGACAGGTCGAGCGGCGTTTGTATAGGCCAGCGTAGTCCCCGGCCGTTAAAGGGACAGAGCTGATCGCCGTCTCGGGAGGGGAGCGCGAGAGGAGGTACCTACGGGGCGGCATGCGCTCGGAAATTGCCAGATTATGAATGCATTTCCTCAAGATTTTGCCCGAGCGGTTCGTTTTTTTTTAAGGGGGAAGGAAGGGGGGATGTTTTTATTTTCGTACATATATTTTTTTAGGCGGAAGAAGGAGTGGGAATAATTTTGGAAAGCGATCTTTGTCTGTCGAGATCGGTTTGACGGGAAAGATGCTACTGTTGTGTGTTTGCATTTACGTGGGAGAAATGGAGAGGGAGAGGAAGGGAGAGGAGAGAGAGAGAGCGAGAGATAGGAGAGGGATAAGAGAGAGAGGGGGATAGGAGAGAGGAGTGAGAGAAGAGAAGGATAGGGGAGAGGGAGGGAGGGGGGGCAGGAGAGAGGAGAGGGATAGGAAAGAGAGAGACGGGATAGGAGAAGAGATAGGGGGATAAGAGAGAGAGAGGGAATGGAGAGAGAGAGAGAGAGAGGGGGGGTAGGAGAAGAGAGAGGGTGGGGATAGGAGAGAGAGAGAGGGAATAGAGAGAGAGGGAATAAGAGGGGTGGGAAAGGGAGGAAGAAAGAGGGAGGCAGGGAAATATTGAGAAAGATAGAAGGAGAGATAGATGATAGAGAGAGAGGGGGGTGAGTGAGAAGGATAGAAGGAAAAATGGGGGGGGAAGAAAGAAAGAGGGAAGGAGGGAAATTAGTGAGAAGGATAGAGGGCAAAGATAGAGAGAAGATCGCGCAAAGAGAGAGAGAAAGAAGGCGTGGGGAAGAGGCGGAAAAAGGGAGAAAGAGAGAGACAGAGGGAAAAGAGAATGAGAGAGAAGAGAGAGTGACAGAAGCAGGCAGGCAGACGTGCGCGTAACCGGAGACGCGGATCGCAACCAGGAGAGAGAGAGAGAGAGAGAGAGAGAGAGAGAGAGAGAGAGAGGAAGAGAGAGAGAGAGAGAGAGAGAGAGGAGAGAGAGCGAGAAGAGAAGAGAGAGAGAGAGAGAGAGAGATATAGGAGCTGAAGAGAGAGGAAATAGGAGAGTGAGAGAGAGAGAGGAGAGGAAGGGGGAGGAAGAAAGAGGGAGGGAGGGAAATATGAAGAAGGATAGAAGGAAAGAGGAGATAAGAGATAGAGAGAGGGGGAACCCGCCAAGAAGAGAGACTACTGCGGGCCGTAGTCCCCCTTGGTCAGCGGGAGGGAGGGGGTAATGGGGAATAAGAATGAGGAATGTGGAATTGCGCGTTAATGGTGGTGAGGTGCAAGGGGGATGAATGGGGGCCATCAACAACCGACCTTTTATAGCCTAAGAGAGAGGAGACCGGTTGCAAGAGATACCCGACGGGAGGTGGGTGGAGTGGAGTGCGGTGGAGGGCTGGAGTTGGGATTATAGTATTGGATATTATACAAATAAGACACGTACTCGCAAACGCGCACGCACAACGCACACCGGCACACGGCACACGCACACGCGCACGCACACGGCACCACGCACACGCACACACACACCACACCACACACACACACACACACACACAACACACACACACACACACACACACAACACACACACACACACCACATATACAATATCACACACAATATCACACAATATCACACAAAATACACACGCCCAACACACATACACAAACAGGCATGTTGTACGTACATACATGCGCAAATATATTAATATACATATCGAGCCGTGATATTAATGAACCCCACGCAGACATAGTATTTAGCCATTCAGCTCATGTTTCTGTGGTGGCAGAGAGCACGAGCTGCTTCCACTCCTCTGCAAGTGAATATGCAACATCAATCGACTGAAGCTCTTTGTCCATCATGCTTCTTCTCGTTCGCGTCATCACACAGTTGGCGCACCTGACGTCTTGGAATCAGCCTTACATATTTAGCTCCTTACATATTACCTGTAGCTCCGTGTAACTAATCCGGGCACGTATGACTTAGACATGGTTGCTGTGTGGTCGGCGGGGGCGTGTGGGGTGGTGGGAGGGAGGGGGAGGTTGGTATGGTGGGTGGGGGGTTCGCTGAAGGCTTGGGGTCTCATGTTAGAGATTTTAATGCTCTTTCTTTTTGTGTCTCTCTTGTTCTGTTTCTCTCCTGTCTTTTGTCTCTTCTTTCTCTCTGTCTTTTGTCTCTCTCTTTCTCTCGTCTCTCCCTCTCCTCTCATCTCTCTCTCCTCCTCCCTCTTCTCTCTCAGTCTCATTCTCTCTTCTCTCTCTCGTCTCTCTCTCTCTCTCTCTCTCTCTCTCTCCTCTCTCTCTCCTTTCTCTCTCTTCTCTCTCTCTCTCTTCTCTCTCTCTCTCTCTCTCTCTCTCTCTCTCTCTCTCTCTCTCTCTCTCTCTCTCTCTCCTCTCTCTCTCTCTCTCTCTCTCTCTCTCTCTCTCTCTCTTCCCTCTCCCTGTCTCTCTCTCTCTCTCTCTGTGTCTCTCTCTCTCTCTCTCTCTCTCTCTCTCTCTCTCTCTCTCTCTCTCTCTCCTCTCTCTCTCTCTCTCTCTCTCTCTCTCTCTCTCTCTCTCTCTCTCTCTCTCTCTCTCTCTGTCTCGTTTTATATTTTTTATTTCTTTCGCTTGTTTTTATTTCTCTCTTCTTTCATTTCTCTCGTTTTTCTCCCTCCTACGCTTCCTCCTCTTTCCTCTCCGTCGCTCCCTCCCTTTCTCTCCTCCTTGCCCCCCCCCCCCGCCTTCTCATTTTCCCTTTCGGTGAAATTATTTTAAAATGATACACAACACCGATGGAAATAACATAAATATCTTAATTTCCACAGTTTTTCTAACAGTTTTCTCAGAGAGAGAGAAAAAAAAAAAAAAACACACACTAATGCTAATTGCAAGAGCGGTGTTAATAACTATGTTGCTGTTATTCACTATAAAAAAATATATGATAAAGATAATTTGCTGTCACGCCCTCGAGTTTTGCGTCAAAGGTACTACAGTAAATATGTGAGACTGATAACGATAGTGATAATAATAACGTGATGGATAATGATTGATAAGATATCTTTGGTGTTGCCAGTAGTGATTATGATGATAGTGATTGAAGTCATGATGATGGCGTTATTACTGATGATGACTTTAGTGATGCGAAGTATAGTGATGCAACGTGGTGATGAGTGAT